CTGTCTCTTATACACATCTAGATGTGTATAAGAGACAGCTACAAGAGACTTGGAGTGCCCTCGGAGAATGAAGCTTTTGACCAAGTGGTTAAGAAGGAGATGGACGCATGGGCCCAGAAAGAAGAGACATCGAGGGCAGACGTTGGAAACGTAGAACTAGAGAAGGAGTTCACTGAGGACGAGGTTGAGGCGTGTGTGAACAAGCTGAAGTGCCACAAAGCAGCAGGCGCGGATGATGGGATAGTCAACGAGTTCATGAAGTTTGGGGGGAAGGGGATGATCAAGCTGATGGTACTGCTGTACAATTGGGTGCGGAAAAACGAGTATACGCCAAGTAGATGGAGGGAAGGAGTGGTTGTGAACCTGTTTAAGAAAGGAGACAAGACTGACCCAGGAAACTACAGGGGGATCACACTTGTTAGACGTACTCACGGCATCGACAGATTTTTGCAAGCAAGAAATTTCAGAGCAGGTGGAGCAGGGAGTTTGGGGGTTCAGCAGTTGCTTTGGATTCGATTTGATGGTACCAACTTTGCCGTATATTACAGGATTGAGGCGGGGGGTATGTATGTGTCTACTGTTAGTGTGCATTGCCGCCCTAAGCGGTCTGTGGTGTTGAGACTGGGTACTATGTTATCCCAGGAACAGCAGATGAAGAAAAGGACCATGTATTATATATATCCGTCACGCAAGCCCCTCAGGCAAGTGCCGGGAGCACACCGCCGTGTGCTCACCCGGGGGGACCGCACTTGGACCCCAACCGCATACATACTCATCACACCCATACTCCCATACGCGTATCCCCCACAGAGGATGCACGCATCGGACTCATATCCAAGTACCACNTCCATACGCGAATCCCCCACAGAGGATGCACGGATCGGACTCATATCCAAGTACCAGAAACAGCCCCCCTACTTGATACGATGTACGATCTTGCAACCCTTCACGCGCAATCAGCCAACACAGAAAAACACCCCTTGAGAAAACTTACTCAACAAAACTGGCTACACATCCAACACAACGCGTCTCCATCAGTTTATTCACGAATCCAACGCGTTCGTCTATGGAACTAATCTCAAACCGTTGACACAAAAGAATCATCCTCAGAAAGGTACCCAACACTTGTTTGTGCTACATCAGAAAGGCGTCGGAACGAAAACGGATATTTCTGGAAAAACAACTCTACAAGAGTTGGCACCAAATCCTCAAACAAAACAAAAACTCAACTTCTTGACCAATCAAAACGAAAGATTCGGAAAGCGCGACGAACGCCTCACCATTGATCGTCAAAACATGTCAAATCATTCCTCCAATACAGTGTCCAAGGACCAAATCCTAAACAGCGCGCACCCGCTAATCGGTACGGTCGCTGTTGTCCAAGAAACGATAGAACACGTAAGCAAGCATCCACGCAAACAGCCCCCCTGCTGTCAGCTCCCAAAATTCACCCCGAGCTTATATTTCGATGCCAACAGCGCCCTTGCTTTGCCGTTCACCTAACACACAAGTAGGCGCGACCAGAAACCAAACCAATTCGATTGCTGCTCATGCCCTCTAGAATCATGGTCAAACATGACATCATGACATCCCCCCCCATGATTTTCGATGCAAGAGCAGCAAAACATGCGATACAAACCAGAACATGAAAACACGTAACACACAAGGCATCAAACTGCAGAAAAAGTTCGTACCGTATGCAAACTGTCGCCTCGACCGGAACTCCGAAAGCCCCCCTGCTCCCTGATCGGAATACCCTCACGCATGTCAAATAATGCGCCATCATCCCATTTCGTGCGCGCGGCCAGAAATACACCGCAGAGAGCGACCACTTAACTCAGGACCTCACACAAAAACCAATGCATCGAACCATTCTAAGCCCAAGGTGTCCAGTTCGTCGGAAAAAAAAAACTCGACTGAACGTACTCCCTCCAAAGAATACGGAAACAGTATGAAGCATTTAGCTGCAAGGTTAAACGCGACATAAAATATACCAAGAACCAACGAAAAAAAAAATACCCACGTGCTGCTTCCTATTCCACAGGTTGTGGCAATGATTATCTTGTCGCAGCGTACAACTATTATCATGAAATTACGCACACGCCGTGGCATACAAGTGTTTTCTGCATCAAAGTGCACGGTGCGCTAGCAAGGGAAAAACAGAACAAAAAAAATGCGAAGCCAAATGGCGAAGCTATAACGTACATGCCTGCTCACAAAACCGAACAAAGTCGTAAACGTTTCACATGTTCTCCCACTTGGCTGTAACAAGGTGAGGTCGTCGCTGTTACCGTGTCCTCCCCGTTCCCGGTCGACACGAGGGCGCCACCACTGCTGCCGCCGCTGCCATCGCCGCCGTTGCCGTTCACCCGCCGCCACGACCGTCATGAGTTCCAGCGCCAATACGGCTGCCGGTGACGTCGCTGCTGCCGCCTCTACCACCGCCGCCGTTGTCGCCGCTGCCGCCGACGAGGTTCTGGCCGAAGCCGCCGCTGCCGTCTGCGGCTGCCATCGGAGCTCTGGCCGAAGCTACCACTCTCGTCGCTGCTCCTGCTGCCGCCGATGTCGCCGCCGGAGCTCTGGCAGAAGCCGCCACTCTCGTCGCTGCTGCGGCTGCCGCCGTTGCCGCCGCCGGAGCTGCCACTCCCGTTCCTGCCCCTATTGAAGGGGTACGCAACCCCTGGTACCGCCCCCTGTCTCCTCGCGCCACGCGAAGATGTCTTACCGGGGTCGAAAGGGTGCGTCGGGGCTCCACTCCAGGTTTCATCCAGCCCCTCATCCCCGCTCCCATCGCCGCCGCTTTCCTCGCAGCATGCTGGTGCTGGTGCTGGTGCTGGTGCTGGTGCTGCTGGTGCTGGTGCTGCTGCTCACGTCCCCCTCAGCCTTCCCGGGGTCGAAAGGATGCGTCGGGGCTCCACTCCAGATGTCATCCAACCCCTCGCCCCAGCTCCCATCGCCGCCGCTGTCCTCGCTGCTGCAGCTGCTGCTACTGCTGCTGCTGCTGCAGCTGCTGCTGCTGTTGCTCATGTCCACCCCAGCACATTGGCTATCGAGCTCCTCCAGGACTGGCAACGGTGTCGTTGTCGCACCAACCGCTTCCTCCAACTCTTCGTCACATACCTCCGTCACCGGTGCCGCCGCCGCCGCCCTTGCGGCCGTCCGGCCCAACGCCAACGCAGCGACCGGGGACGCCGCTGCTGCTGTCGCACTGCCGTCCACCCCGTCACCGATGTCGCTACCGCCGCCGCTGCAGCCGTCTGGATACCCGACGCCAACGCGGCGACCGGGGACGCCGCAGCTGCTGCTGTCGCTGCCGTTCCCCCTGTCACCGACGCCGCCGCCATCGCTGCTGCGTCCGTCTAACGTACCGGGCGCCAACGCGGCGACCGGGGACGCCGCAGCTGCTGCTGTCGCTGCCGTTCCCCCTGTCACCGACGCCGCCGCCATCGCTGCTGCGTCCGTCTAACGTACCGGGCGCCAACGCGGCGACCAGGGACGATGCTGCTGCTGCTGCCGCTTCCGACGAATGCTTGGGTTGTGGTGATTCCGCGGACGGCGAAACTACAACAACGTGATGCGATCCAAGCATGTGTTCCTCCGTTACACGTCTACTGCTGTATGCGCCCTCCATGAGGTCCAGCTCATCGCGTTGCCGCACTACTGCAGGTGCTACACGTGATGTTGCGGGCCGCTCGGGAGAGCGAGTGGNGCCGCTGGGGAGAGCGAGTGGCGGAGTGTGTGTTTAGGTTGAGAGAAGCTACGTTGGCGGGGGCTTTTACCGGCAAAACGCCGCAGACGACCCGGCAGCAGCCCCCCCCCCTTCTCACCAACGAACACGCCACCACGCACCTGTCCACGTGCACCCCCGGTGAAGCCGTCCGCTAGCTGTTGTTGCCGCGGCTGTTGTTGAGAGTCAACGCCGTACACCACGCCTGGCTGCTGCTGCTGGTGCTGCCGACACACAGACCTGCCGCCAAATTCGCCGTTCCTCCGCTGCTGCTGAAACGGTCCGCGGGCGAAAGCTGGAGCTGTACCAGGAGCGCCGTTGCAGGACCGTAGAGGTTGCTGCTGTTGACGAGGCTGCTGCTGTGGCATGGGCTGCTGCTGCACCGATGGCTGTGGCACGAACCTCTGCTGCACGGTTGTTGCTGCTGCTGCTGAAAAGAACACCCTCTGCCAAACACGCCGTACCTCCACTGCTGCTGGCACGGTTGCTGAACGGGAACACCTCCGCAGGACTGCTGTAGACCATGCTGCTGTTGACGAGAAAAACCCCTCCAACAGTCGCGCCGAAAATTTCCACCGCCGACATGAAGAGCGTGGGGGGCACCGGTCGGCGCTGCCGTCCGCCGCGCAACATTCCCGAGGTCTCTCTCGGCGTGCAGGCTACGCACAAGATTCTCCAATCCTTGCGCGTGAGCGAGCTGTTGGCCATGAAGTGAATGTGGACCTGTTCGTAGTCGGCGAAGAAGTTCCTTCGAACCATCGTGAGGACTTCTCTATCCGTGATCGCATCGCCGTTGACGACGCGGAGAGTAGACAACACTCTGTCGAACCTAAGAAAGTACTCCTTTGGGTCCTGTCCAAGCTGCATCTTCATGTTCGTGAGAGACAGCTTCAGTGCCTTCTGGTCGGAGTCACTGATCGGCAGGCAGAACTGTTGTGCAGCCTGCCACGCCCCAGACACAGTCCCAACGGCAAGGATTCTAGCCTGAAAGTTTGCCCCCTTCGTGGCGCGCATCACGTACTCAATCAAACGCATTCCACTCTGTCCGGAAATATAACTGGGATTTGAGGTTCAGGCGGCATAACTCGTGCTGGTTCACGTTTGTTTTGAACGTTTTTTTTTTCCAGAACCCAGTATGAGATACCCGAACGCGCCAAAACCGCACTCTTTGCGGAGGGCACCCATAAGCACCGACTAAAGCAGCGCGAAGTAGCAGCACGCAGAGCTGAAATAAAAAATATCCTGTATCGTGCTCTTCAAGCTACCCTCGTGACTATGTCAGCGTCTGGTAATGTCGGCGGGACTGTGAAAAGAATCTCACAAGTTCTGAGAAACGGGCCGCGATTGCCGAGCTACTGAAGGGCAGCAAGAACGGGAAGCTGTGCAGAGGTGACCTCAAGAGGGTTGGAGCACAGTTCGAGCAACATCCGGAGACTATCAGCCGCCTTTGGAAGAACTACANGAAGCTGTGCAGAGGTGACCTCAAGAGGGTTGGAGCACAGTTCGAGCAACATCCGGAGACTATCAGCCGCCTTTGCAAGAACTACAGCATGCAGAAAGAAGGTGGCGCGGTGAATCCCAACCTGGATAACAGGCGCAAGGTGAACTATGGTCGTCCGTAAAGGTGTCGATCTGACTGCTGTTCGCGCTGCTCTGAAAGAGATAGATCCCGATCAAGAGCCGCACCACGATTCGAGGAGTGGCGGCTGCGCTCGGGCTCCCGAGGATGACTCTGTTTGACAACCTCAAGAAGCTGGGGTTGCGTGCCGCGTCGAGGTTTCTCAAGCCGCTGTTGACTGATGATAACAAAAGAGCGAGCTTGCAGTGGGCGTTGCGATGGGTCTCCCGCTGCACCGGAGGTGTGCTTAAGCTCCACCACTTCGAAGACTTTGTTCATGTTGAGTAGCTTTGTGCGTGTGTGCCTCGGCGCGGGGTCCCGTGGTGGGAAATAAATGTGCCAGCAGCTG